AGGTTACCCCTACATCAGATGGACTCTTTCTTGATCAACACAAGTACATTACAGATTTATTACAGGTGTTGAACATGCACGAGGCGAATCCGGTATCCATGCCTTTAGCTTCCTCAACTTCCTTGACTCTGTTTGATAGCTCAGGTTCTTGTGATGCCACTCTCTATCGTCAAGTTATTGGATCACTTCAGTATTTAAGCCTCACCCGACCTGATACGGCCTTTGCCATCAACAAGCTAGCCCAGTTTATGCACAAACCCATGGTGAACCATTGGCAGCTCATGAAACGTCTCTTGTGGTATCTTCACGGAACAGCCTCTCATGGTTTATATCTCCGTCGGAGTTCTCACCTTTCATTGTGTGCTTATGCTGATGCAGACTGGGCGGGAAATCTAGATGACCGATCCTCTACCAGTGCTTATGCCATTTTTCTCGGAGAATCACTTATTTCATGGAAGTCCTCCAAGCAACGCACAATTGCCAAATCCTCAACCGAAGCAGAGTATCGGGCCCTATCCACTGCCGCATCTGAAACTCTTTGGATTGAGTCACTTCTTCATGAGCTTCGACATTCCCCTTCTTCTCCTCCAGTTCTTCTATGTGATAATAAAGGCGCTACCACCTCTTCTGCCAATCCGGTATTCCATTCCCGAATGAAACATATTGCCATTGATTTCCATTTTGTTCGTCAACGTGTGCAACGTGGCCTTCTTCGGGTTCTTCATATCCCCTCGCATGATCAACTAGCTGACATTCTCACCAAACCCCTTTCACGACAACGGTTTGTTTTTCTACGTGACAAGCTCAGGATTCTCAGCACTGATAGAATACCTGGCTTGCGGGGGCATATAGACAGAAGAGTCTAGACAGCTCTAGAGATCAGTTACATGAGTTACAAAATAAATTAGAATATTTGTATTTAATATTTCAGTTACAAATCTTTGTATTTAATATTATAATTAGTAGCCTAGCTCTAAAATGTTGTATAAATAGGATATCATGTCATGGAATGAATTAAGCTTTTCAGTCTCAATTCCTCCTTATTCTAAACTTTGTTAAATCCTACTATAATTAATATCAAGATGTTAACTAATTGTCATCTTAGCAACACTCCACAACATTAATATAGAGGAAGAAAATACCATTCTAACTAATGTCGAGATGTTAACTAATTGTCATCTTAGCAACACTCCCCAACATTAATATAGAGATGGTATTAAGGAAAGAACCATTAATTAATATTCAAGGAAAGAAATTAAGAAAATAACTCACAACTTTAATAATCAACAAGCTTCAAGAGCAACACCAAGAAATGGAAGTTTGGCTCCTCATTTGGAGACTAAACATGCTATAAAATTTAAGAAATGCTATTCTAAACTGAGCTAAGAAGTATATGTGAATTGGTGATTTTATTGTGAAGGAGAGGGGTGTATTTATAGGCTTTTGGGAGCTGCAGGGTCTGATACCCGACCGGGTATATAGGATACCCGACCGGGTATCTTAGGAAATTTCCCAGAAATTCACTTTTCTGGGCATACCCGATCGGGTGTGTCGGCATACCCGATCGGATATGTGACGAATATTTACGAAAATTTGCTCCCACGATCATTTGTTCCCGGATTTGATTTGGACAATCGAATCAAGCAAATACCTGATCGGGTATAGGCAATACCCGACCGGGTACATGAGTATTTTTTCCAAATCGAAATCTTTCTTGCCTCCTTGCACTTCCCTTGATCTTTTAAGGTCCAATCTTGATCCCTTGGATGATCTTTGACCTGTTTAGCTCAGAAAAGCCCTAATCTAAACAAATTAAAAATAAATATGAAAATAAAGTATTACACCAAAAGTGTGTAATTTCCTCAACTAGAAATAATAAAAACTAGGTAAAAATACAAACATACAATCGGAAATTACATGAATATCCACTCCCCCACACTTAGCTTCTTTACTCATCCTCGAGTAAAGTCAAATGTTTAACAGTTCCATGTCCTCAAAAGTTCAACAATTAACCAGAAAAAGCAAAAGACCACCAAGGATAACATATGAGTTTTACATTGAGTGTTTAGCTCAAAGAATAATATCTTCTTCGGTTTCATGGCCTTCTATGCTCATCTCCTCTTTTCATCTTCAAGAGATTAAATGATGTCCTCTAAAAACAAATATATCTCTCATATCTCTCATTTTGCCTAGGAGCCTTTTCAGGTTTTCATCCTAGCATCTCTTTTATTTTTTCACCTCTCCACTCACTCATCATTTTTTGTAAGCCTTTTTTTTCTTAGATTGCCCATTTTTTGGGTTTTCAACCTAACTAGCATTTCATTTTTTTAAAGATTTTTGCGAAGAAAATAATGCTTGAGTACAAGGTATCAAACTTAAGTACGCACCGATGAGTGACTCCCCCTCACTTAGCTCGAAGCACTGTCCCTAGTGCTCGTCTCCATCATAACCGGGTTGACCTGGTGCTCTAGATGAAATACTCTCGCCCCTTGTTCTCTTTGGTGCCATTTTCGCTTGATGCTTTGAATTTTGAGTTCCGAATTTCGGACTTGGGGGAGGGCGTAAGGCATTATTTTTGGACTTGAGTTTTTTTTTTGGGGGGGGGGGGGGGGTGTGGTGTTGATGGATATGGGGTGTAGAGTGAAATGTGGTGAAGATTTGTGCGTTGGTTTGGACTGATTTGGTGGAGATTTGAGGGAGTAATGGGAGAAAGAAACTTTGAAATTGGAGGTTTGGGGAAGATGAAATGAGTGTTTTGGGTGGCTAATTTGGGTTTAAAGACCGTGTATCCGACCGGGTACCCTGACATACCCAATCGGGTATGCCTGTGTTTCTTCAAAATCCGGGGTCCTACCCGATCGAGTTGGGGTATACTCGATCGGGCGTTTTGATGCGAACATATTCCCAGAAAAAGTTAACATACCCGACCGGGTATATGGAGCTGCCCGATCGGGTACTTCATAATTTTCCACCCCTGAGTCGATCGAGTATTTGGTTACCCGAGCTTCACCCTTTATATTTTTTTGTTTATACCCGACCGGGTAGTACGTGACACCCGATCGGGTATGGTGCCCCTGGTATTTTTTTTTTTTGAAATGAAAACTACGAGGGAGAAAAGAATATATACCTTTGCTTGGGTTGCCTCCCAAGAAGCGCCTCGTTTAACGTCGCGGCACGACGCCATCATTGTTTTCAATCGTTCAAGCTTGGATCATGATAATTATTTTGACTCTTCACTTCGAAAATCTTTCCAGGATCAAATATCCAGATTTCCATTGATTCATGTGGTGAGAGTGAGGGAAAGAAATTATCGATTAACATGATCAATGGAAAATGTTTTGATCTCTCAGTTTTTGTGAAGATTTCAAAAATGTCTTTATCCTTTTCAATTTTATGAGTTTCCCTCGAAGTTTTTAAAACTGTTGGGGGTACCTCAAAGAATGATAAGGATAGATATTTGACCTTGAAACACGGTTCATCCTCTTCTTTGACCAACTCGAGCTCCGTGTCTCTTTCTTCTTCTACTTCTTCTGGATTTTGGATCTCCTCTTGCATTTCCTTCTCATTTGTTAATGTGATTGCAAAAGTTTGTTGTTTAGGATCACATTCTATTTGAGAGGAAAGTTTTCCCGAATCCCTTGCTTCAAGCCTACTTACGGCTCCGGCTATTTGACTCACTTGAGATTCCAAGTTCAAAATACTAGATTTGGTCTCATTTTGGAATTGCACCATGTTTTGTTGCATGGTGGTGGTCACACTGTTAGTAAAAGCCCGAACCATGTCCTCCGTAGACATGTTAGAGTTGGAGAATGGATCATACCTCATGTGAGGTACATAATTAATTTGTGCGAGGTATTCTTCTTAGAGCTTTGGGAAAAAATCCGCAATATGCCTGTGAGACATGCAAATATCGCAGGTCTTGGCATCTTGAGTTTCTGAGCTTAAGATAAACTCCTTTATGAGAGAAGCCAAAACGGAAATTTGACTCTTTAAGGATGATGTGTTGGTATCCATATACTCATGTAAGCTCAGAAAATAGAAAAGTAATTTTTTATATATTTTTTTTGTTTTTGATTTTTATGAGATAAAATAAAAAGAAAAATAATTGCCTTTCCCCGGTAACAACGCCAAATTTGACGTGCACTTGTCGTGAGGTTCACTCAAAATAATTTTCAATACTAACACTTATACGTAGTATAGCGTAGTAGAGTTCGTATCCACAGGGAAAGGAATAATTCTCTTTTTATAAAACTAGTAAATAAAGGGTTTTTTTTAGATTGAATGATTTAATTTAAAAAAACTAAGATGAACAACCTATATGTGTTTATTTCAGAGATAAAAAAGGACTTGGCATTGCTACTTTCCACTTGTTGATATATTTTAGTCGATCATTTTTATATCTATAACTTATTCCCTCTCGAATACTCAATCGGGGAGTATATCCACTTCATCGAGGGTAGTTATTAACAATAACCGTTCATTAATAACCCTTACTATTAATCAAATATAGAACAATGCCTTATACCGATTTAATAGTAGCATTTAATCTTTCTAACTCCTTGATGAAATCAATTGAGATTGATAACCTCAACACAACGGTTTCGGTTTAACCAACAAAATTAATCCCTCTTAAGTTTATTAACCACGACCGTGCATTAATAAACCGAAGTTACTTACTTGTGAAACCATCAACGATTAACCATCGGTTCGTTGATCGTTTCTAGTAATAATTAATATATGAAACAAAACTAGTTGATCCTTTAAGTAATGTTCAAAATATTAATATGAAATATGAGTAGGAATTAATTAATATTCAAGGAAGAATATTATTAAAGAAGATGAATCCTACTATAATTAATATCAAGATGTTAACTAATTGTCATCTTAGCAACACTCCCCAACATTAATATAGAGGAAGAAAATATCATTCTAACTAATGTCGAGATGTTAACTAATTGTCATTTTAGCAACACTCCCCAACATTAATATAGAGATGGTATTAATGAAAGAACCATTAATTAATATTCAAGGAAAGAAATTAAGAAAATAACTCACAACTTTAATAATCAACAAGCTTCAAGAGTAACACCAAGAAATGGAAGTTTAGCTCCTCATTTGGAGACTAAACATGCTATAAAATATAAGAAATGTTATTCTAAACTGAACTAAGAAGTATATGTGAATTGGTGATTTTATTGTGAAGGAAAGGGGTGTATTTATAGGCTTTTGGGAGCTGTAGGGTCTGATACCCGACCGGGTATATAAGATATCCGACCGGGTATCTTAGGAAATTTCCCAGAAATTCACTTTTCTGGGCATACCCGATCGGGTGTGTCGGCATACCCGATCGGGTATGTGACGAATCTTTACGAAAATTTGCTCCCACGATCATTTGTTCCCGGATTTGATTTGGACAATCGAATCAAGCAAATACCCGATCGGGTATAGGCAATACCCGACCGAGTACATGAGTATTTTTTCCAAATCGAAATCTTTCTTGCCTCCTTGCACTTCCCTTGATATTTTAAGGTCTAATCTTTATCCCTTGGATGATCTTTGACCTGTTTAGCTTAGAAAAGTCCTAATCTAAACAAATTACAAATAAATATGAAAATAAAGTATTACACCAAAAGTGTGTAATTTTCTCAACTAGAAATAATAAAAACTAGTTAAAAATACAAACATACAATCGGAAATTACATGAATATCATGAGGATAGAACTCCTTCATGAATTCTTGATGCAACTTCTCCCATGTGTTGAAATAACTGGATGGTTTAGAGTTCAACCAACTCAATGCTTCATCCCTCAGTGAGAATGGGAACAACCTAAGTCTGATAGCATCAACAGAGGCTCCATTAAGTTTAAGAGTTGGGAGAACTCTCAAGAATTGCTTCATGTGGCTCGTGAGATCTTCATTCTTTGATCCGCCAAATTTGTTTGCTGAGACCAATGAGATAAGTGCTGGTTTGATCTCAAAATTTGCTGCATCCACGCCTGGATAGAAAATATTGTCTTGTTCCTCAATTTCACCTGCAACATAATCAAGAAGTCTTGTCCCTTGCTGTTGTTGTCTCATATATTGCTCTTGATCTTGTTGATAATGTGGGTGTTGGTAGTATTGGCCGTATGGGTGAGATTGGTATGGGTGCATAAATGGAGGAGGTGGGTAAGGATATGGGTAAGTGTATGGATATGGTGGAGGAGGTTGGTTTTGGTAGTTTTGGTAGGGATGTGGTGGATAGAGTTGGGGTTGTGTTTGGGGAAGAATTTGTTGGAAATTTTCAAATCCTGGTGGTCTTTGATCTCCAAAGAAAGGATTATGTCTATCTCTGAGAGTATCAATGGGTGTATTTTGAGGTGGGGTAGGATTTGGATTTGGAATTAGGTTTTGGCCATTTGGATTATTGGGATTGTTTTGAAAACCCTCCATGATCTGATCTGAAATTTTAAGCTCAAGGGTTCGTGCTTTTCTTCTTTTCCTTAATTCTTTTTCAAAATCAAGGTTTAGTGGTTCCAATCCTTCACTCCCTTGAGAGCGAGTATGCATACACTTTTTTAAGAGTTTTTTTTAGTGCACGAAAAATGATTTTTTTTGTTTTTTTGTTTGCAAAAGTGATGAGAACAGGTAAAAAAAATACTTAGTCTCCAGATAAATAATAACAAATGCTAATATTAACTAATAATCAATCAATAACACTGTGTCATTCCCCGGCAACGGCACCAAAATCGTGACATGCCAAAATATGTAGTGTGAAATGATGTAAAAATGTGAATGGAAATGATGTTTTAATTGGCTAGTAACGATATAGTATACAGTAAGTGAGTATCGTTCCGCTAGAAAATGGCTCACAAAGAGAACTAGAATTAATGATTGATTTTTAGCTAATCACAAATTGATACATTTTGCAATGGAGCAAAGTGATCGGATTTTTTTTATCTTGTTTTTTATAAATTCGAAATTGCTAGGGAGTAAAATAAATCACAATACTTGGTAATTTAACAAATAATGATAGAGAAAATTAGGCTTGGGCTAAGAGTAATTTTATTTTGATGTTCATAGTAATAAAGATTTAACTAATTAACTTAGTTACTTTTAGGTGTGTGAAAGATTTACAAATGATAATCTTCTAACCGTTCCCACGACTTAGTTGATTACACTATCTTAAATTAATTCCGCTCCCGCGGTAATTTTATTAAGACAGTAAAAAGTACAAAATCAAATTATCCTAAATTCATTAACACTTCCGTGTAGCAATTTAGTGGGTGAATTAACAAAAGGGATTTTAATTAAATTTCACTCCCGTGATAATATTCATTTCCCAATATAATGTATTTAGCAGATTAGAATATTCAACCCAACACTCCTAAAATTAACCAAGTAATAGTTTTAACCAATTATTATCATATGAACATTAATAGTAAAAATTACATCTTGCCCAAACCTAAACTAATTTAGTTACACATAATTACGGTAAACGAAATAAGAGTAAAACTAATGATAGGCATAATTAATTTAACATATTAAAGAAAATAAAATGAGTATTTGAATAAGAACCTGAAGGCATAAATAATGAGCTGGAATAGAGAAAGTGAAATCCTTAAGCTGAGAATGATTCTGGCTGATACTTCCCAAATGAATTTGATTGTTGAAATTAAAGAACTAAAATTCTTGAAATGAAAATTACAAACTGAAATTTACAAAGTGTTCTTGACAGAATCACTTTTATTATATGACTACTATTATGAACAAAGCTAAAGAAGAGAAGAGGGAGATTTCTCTCCGATTTGGTGTGTTTTCCGAGCTTCAAAATGCGTCTTTATATAGGCAACACAAACTCTCTTGAGCTTGAAGATTATTCAATAATGATGTTGGTGGAAATAATAATTTTGCAAATTGATTAGCCTAATCCCATTAGGCGCCGAAACAACAGTTCCCGTGAATAGTCTTCGGTTTGTTTTATTTCCTGCAAGAAATTTGATAGTTGCTGTGTTCCTCATGGTGGTAAGATGATGATGACTATGTGGCTGTATGGTGGTAAAGAATTGATGACATGGCATGAGGTTATTGGTTGGAGAGATTGGCCATGGATACAATTATATCTTAGCCATGTACGCATGGGTCCTTGCCAAATTAATTCATTGCATTATCTTCTCCACAAGTCTGGCCACATTTCTTTTCCTTCACTGTTTGCTTTCTTTGTCCATGACTTCTATGGCCGGTTGACTGTGTGATCTGATCCGCAGTTAACCGATACATTTTGTTGCACTTATATCTCTTCATTTTGATGATTTTTCCGTCTTCACTCGGGAGTAATATTTATTTCTTTTCAGAAATTAATATACGTCCTGAATGATCCTGAAACTCAAAAATATACCAAAACAAGTGCAATACCTTAAAAAATTCAAGATGATAAAAATCAATCCTTTTTATTAAAAAATGAGATATAAAATATTAAAAGTGTGACAAAACAAGATCATAAATATGGTAAATTAGGAGTACATATGATTGCCGCCACTCTTATCCCAAACGTCAATGGTCCCTACAGAGTCAATCAACTTAGATCAATCAGTCTTTGCAACGTAAGTTGTAAAGTTATCACGAAGACTATGACTAATCGCATTAAAGTGATCGTGAATAAGCTAATAGGGCTGGAACAGAGTAGTTTTGCCCCTAATCGAAAAATCACAGATAATATTATTATCTATCACGAGATGTTGCATTCGATGAGGAAATGATAAGGAAAAAAGGGTATCATGACCATCAAAATTGACCTTGAGAAAGCTTATGATAAGATTAGATGGGATTTCTTGGAAGATACTCTTAAGGAAGCAAGGTTCAACTCAGAATGGAGAAGAAATATTATAGGGTGTGTTCAAACTGCTAGACTAGCGATTCTTTGGGATGGGGGCTAGTCAGAGTGGATTAGTCCTGAAAGAGGGTTACCTCAGATTTATTTAACCCTATGATGGATCGCATTACTAATCGTTTGGAGGGCTGGAAAGTTAAATATCTCTCTTTTGCTGGACGACAGATTTTAGCTTAATTAGTCTTGAATACTATTCCCTACTAAATTATGCACTCAACCCTACTGCCAGGAGGTTTTTGTGATCTTATTGACAGAAAAATCAGAAACTTTATCTGGGGTAGCTCTGAAGATAAAAGACATTTACACCTTGTTAATTGGGAGACAGTCCCACAACCAAAAGAGAAGGGAGGCCTCGGTATCAGAAAACCACAAACCATGAACCTAAGTTTTCTAGCTAAGCTGGGATGGAGAATTGAGACAGAGCCGGACCAGCTGTGGGTACGAGTAATTCTGACGAAGTATGCATATGGGAAAGAGGGGATCAATATTGTTACTTCAAGGATATGTGCCTCTAATATTTGGAAGGGAATTTGCCTAGCAAAACCTGTGTTTGAGCAAGATATCCAAAAAATGTAAGGAACGGTGGAAAGATAAGATTTTGGCATGACGTCTGGTTGGGTAATACACCTTTGAAAGATAAGGTCCCTATGAATAAACAAGATTGCATAGATGATGAGAGGGTGGCTACTATGGGGAATGTGGGCTAAGGCTGGGAGTGGGAGGTCCTAGATAACTTGCTTTCGGAGGATATCAAAAGAACATTGGAGCTATACACTATCAGCAACATTGAAGACGAAAGCTTTTGGCACCCCACTAGCATAGGTGAATTCTCAGTTAGTTCTGCCTATGAACTCACTACACATAATAGTCTCGCCTCGCGGGATACTGGTTGGGCTAAATTGTGGAAGCTTAAACTTCCAAACCGCATTAAGGCATTCTTATGGCTAGCACGACTGGCTTGCAATGTAGGAAGATTTTGGAGACATAACAATGGTAGACAATTGTTATAGTTGTATTACTCAGCCTAAGACAGTCAGTCACGTGTTACGTGATTGCCCTAATGTAACACGGTTTGGAAGAGATTGTTGGGAGCAAGTAAAGCATATAAGCTGACATTTCTGCCTTTTAAGCAATGGATGGATGTCAATATTGGGGGGCGTATTAGAACAACATATGGTGAGGAGTGGCCAATGATTTTTGCTATCACTTGCTAGTGGGCATGGAGATAGAGAAATGAATATGTGTTCAATGGAACTAAGCTTGATGAGGATAGCAAACTAGAGTGGATCTTGTATCCGAAAAGAGATGTGGTTAAAGCCCTTTGTAGTCGTAATATGGGGGAAGATTCTTGTGATAACATGAAAATGACTTTGGTTAAATGGTAGAGTTCGGTGGAAGGTTGGGTGTGCTTAAATGTGGATGGAAGCATGGATAAGTGTGGAGGTATTGGCCCATAAAACCTTGGCAGCCCTCTCTTTTCTTGTTGAGCCTGTTTGTTTGCCTCTTGTCACTGGTCCATGTGTTTCTCGCTAGCCCTGTTTCTGGAACCCTTTATTAGGGTTCCCTTGCAGCCCTTGGTACTTAAGTCCCTCTTCTTCCTCTTGTGCGAGTCGAGGTCTTCGGTTAGAGAGAGAGTGTGAGGTTAGAGAGAACGAGAGAGAGACTTTCTGTCTCTTCTCCTTCGGTCCCTCTGTGTTATTTCTCTTTGAGCTTCCCCTTTCTAACCACGGTGTGCGTTAAGATGGCTGGACTGGCCTGAGTGTGACTGTCCCTTCCGGTGGTGCTTGGTTGTGTGCTGTTTGAGCGTGGTCTGAGCTTGAGAGGTGAAAACCTGACAGTGGTATGAGAGCCAGACCTCCTGTCGTCCTCTTCTGCAGCCTGAGAGCTCCTCCGCCGCCATTCGCCGCAGATCTCCGTTGATTGGTAAGTCGAGAAGCCCATCCTCGGATTCTCGCTCAGGTAAATTGGCGATAAACACCCTAGGTAGTCGGGTGGCTCCGGTATTGTGTGATTTGGTGGTCTTTTACTCGTTTCATCCCCTTCCCCGCTTTGCTTTTGCTGCTGACCTGGTTGGTCTAGCTGTCAGTTGTAACTGACTACTCCCAGGTGCGTACACTTTACCTCTGTGTGTGATGTTTGATCTGCATGTGTGTTTCCTGTCTCTGCATGTATAGATTTGTGATTCGTACTGGTTTTATGCATATGCGGGCTTGAGGTTTTGAACTTGTAATATGTGCTTCTGTCTCCCTTGCGTGTTTATCTCACCTTTACTGTTCTTTGCGCTTGCTTGGTACCCTTGTGAACTGGGATTTTTTTACCGGTGTGACTCGGCACCTGAGGTTATGACTGACATGTTCCCTGCCAGCCACTCAAGTGGCCTTCAGATCTGCGTGGCCTGTCAGCCTGCAGCCAGGTACACTGGTGAACCATAGCTCCTCGGTTCTCTGTCTCTCTGTGTGCTGTTTTTCATTGACCTTGTCTTTTGCTACTGATCTTCTGCATTATCCTTATTGTGTTCATTCTGGTGTCTGTTGCTATACCTTTTAATGGGGAAACTGATTTTGACATTTGGAAACAAAAGATCAAATGTGTTTTAATCTAGCAAAAGGTTTTCAGAACTGTAAGTGAACTTTATTTGGACTCTGATGATAGTGCTAAGAAAGCTGAAATGAATGAAGCTGCCTGCTCTACTATTTATCTTAACCTATCTGACTTTGTGCTTAGAAAGGTTGGTATCTTAGACTCAGCTAAAAAATTGTGGGATAAGTTGGATGATCTTTATACTGACACCTCTCTGCCTAGTAAACTGTTTTTGCTTGAAAAGTTCTTTCGGTTTAGGCTAGACCTAACCAAAGACATTGATGAAAACTTGGATGTTTTTAATAAGTTGATCCAGAATATTAAACAATCTGGTGATAAGCATATTGATGATTATACTAGTGTTGTGCTGCTTAATATTATTCCCAATTATTATAATGATGTTAAATATGCTATTAATTATGGTAGAGATGATGTCACCCTTGATATTGTTGTGAATGGCCTTAAGAGTAAAGAGCTTGAGCTTTTTTTTTAAAACCCGGAAGGTAAACCACCAAAATCAGTGGGGCAAATGCCGGGGAATATTTGCCAGATTTTATTAGAAAGGGAATAGTACAAAAAGAGAGGGGGACCAAACCAAAACCTCTCAGAAGAGGCATACCTCTTTAAAAACAAATCATGCAAAAACGAAAAGACACTAATGATTGGGGGGCTGGGCCTGACCCAACCAAGTACAAAAAACTGATAAATTTAAAACCTTAAAGAGGGAATACCAAAATAATCCATCAAATAGGCCCGTTTAGCATAAATGGGCAAATGCTCTGGACTGCTGAAATAAATAAATTGTGAGGCCCGATAGTCTGCAAGGTAGTGTGCGGCCCAATTCCCTTCCCTGTAAGTGTGTCCATAGTCCAAATGTTTCCTAATCTGTATGAGCAATGTTTCCTGAATCAAATCTACCCATCTCCTCGTCTCCTTACCTGAGAAGTACTCCAACGCAAGTGAACAGTCGGATTCAACCTGAAACTCAGCAAAGCCTTCATCTGTCGCCCATCGTATCGCAAAAGCGATGGCCTGGATCTCAGCATCAACCGGCGAAGAGGCTTGAATCGGAAAAGCAACATCTCCAAGCATGGCACCTCTAGAGTCGCGCATAATTGCTCCACCTGAAGCATTACCAGATAAGTACCGAGCATCAATAGATAGCTTGTGCTTATTTTTAGGCTTCCTCCACCGGATAATCTGAATCTTAGATCCATACGAATAGTTTCTAGGGAAGACAGAACCTATAGATCGAAACTTTGATTTAGGGAAGCTAGCTACCCAATTTTGAGTGTAAAGTTTGATCTGTAGGATAAAATTATCAGTTGAG